AGAGAGAGAGAGAGAGAGAGAGAGAGAGAGAGAGAGAGAGAGAGAGAGAGAGAGAGACGAGGGTCGCGGGTTTGAGATGCAGGGAGCGCATCGCCCTCTGGTTATAATGGCAAGATGGAAGGAATGGGGCTAGGTAGGAAATTTGCAAATTTTCACGACGGGGCACGGATAATTTCCGGTTGGCTCGGTGGTTTCCGCCCTTGACAAATGACTGTGGTATCCGGTTATTGGCTGCACCGACGACCCCCTTCGCATTCCGAATCAGGGAGAATGTCTCTTCGAGCACTATCAAATGCATAAGGGATAGACAATGCATCAGCCAAAAGATGCACTGCGACGTAATTACCTTTCGTTGATGCTACCATCGCTTTATATATATATTTCGAACATTACGTAATATTATTTTAATTTTTTTGATAATTTACTAATTTTAAAAACAAGAAGTTCACACAGAAATATAACTTGGCAGAATATAGTTGGCAAACAAATTTATTTCCATAAGATCTAAATATATTCTTGAGAATCCAAATTTTATTTAAAAAATGTTTATATTTTTACATTCTATCTGTAAAAAGTAATTCATAAATGAAATATCTGATTAAATCATATCGCTAATTATATAAAATTATGTAATATTTGTATCTTTTATCGTTTTCTCGACCGTGATAATTCTATATTATAGATTTATTACTTAAATGTAAGATACAAATTAATATTGAAGGTATCGTAGAAATTTCAATTTAGCAAGTTAAGATGTGAAAAATTATTCTTTTCAAAGGAACACTCTTTCTTTTCTTTTTGTCGAAGGAGATACATTTATTAACTTGACGTTTCCGCTCAAATGCGCGGGAAATTCTACGTACGCTATTGAAAACGACAAAGTAGCGTGACAACGATTTACTCACAGCGAACATTGAGAAAATATCCGATGCTGGTGAAAATGCCGAGCATATGCCGCGTATAACACTTGTACCAGCCGCTCTCGGCCCGAGTGATTTTTGTGAAGTTCAACCATCCGTCATCGCTCTGCTCCACAGGGGGCGGTCCATTGTCTGAAACACAAGCGGAAAGCTGGTGGATATACGAATTAACGCACTGGAAACAGCACGCACGGTCCGCGGATTTACGTTAACGTCGCGCAGTTCGTATCAGCCGAGCGAGTCGGCTGCAAGCGACTTCTCTCGATGTTCATGATTTCATGACATTCTTCGTAGACAATTATTACCAATTATTACATGCATTATTCAATAATTAACTATTCGAAATTAATCGCCAATCATCAGAAAAAAAGAAGCAGGTATTATGGAATTATTCGGAACAGATTCCAATCAGAATTATTCAATAATTTTCTAGATTTCTATTATGTTTTCGAGGGAAAACGGATCGGAAATAATCAGAATCTATTTCAACTATACCACAATAGGTGCCCAGGTTAAAAAAGTTAAAACTTTATCTTAATAAATTTAGAACGTTAACTTTTTTGTATGAATGTATAATGATAATTGTTTGCGAATATGACTTTTTGGTAGAATATGACATGTGGTTTCTCTAATAACATGGATTAGACATAAAAATAATTAGATTATAAGAAGTTGTTTTTTTATAGAGATGAGATTACAGATGTTAACAATTTTATCTCACTTATATCATTATCAAAATTGTTCCACTTCTAAAACGTCATTCATCTTCATCAGATAATCCAATTATACTGATTATGAAATTTATTATTTTTGTTATTAAAATTTTTGCGTTATTATTTTTGTGATTAAAAGCTCTTGAATAGTAATTTAAAATTGTATTGCCGTTCTGTTTGTTTATTCAATCATCATCTGAGAGATAGAGAAAGAGATAAAAAAATAAAATAAAAAGAACGTGGAAGGAGAAAAATTGAAGAATCTCTCGTTCAAAATTATTAATTATTATCTAAAAAATTATTATCAGTAATGCAAGTGATCGCTGAATTTCAAAAAAGAAATTGATCTGCCAAGGATGTCCGAAAAGAAAAATCCAAAGGAATATTTATTCGACTTATTCATAAATGCGGAAGTGATTCTGAGAGAGTATCAATTCATTGGCTTTCTTTTTTCCGTTTGCCGCCAAACTTTCATTTAGCTGTAGCCTATTTCTTTCTTCACTATTTTGGATCTACCATTACCGCTCATTCCTTTCCTCCTCCGCCATCGACCTCGTTATTACAGTGAAGCCGCGGATTCGACGCAGCTGTCGGATTGGCTACTTGAAAGTATACCTCTTTCGCGAATGTGGAACTACCCCAGGGAATAAAGGAAGAGCATAGTCGGAAAACACACTCATGAAAGGTAGAGGATTACAGAGGGAAGGGGAGATATGCGGGAAGAATATCGGGAAAAGAAAAAGAGTAGACGGAAAAGAAAAGAAGCGAATCCTATGTATCGTCAGACGGAGTTTTGTAGTGAAACTTTTATATAGGCTGGCCATAATCACAGGAAGGAGTTATTCTACTAAAGACATCGCTCGCCTTTAACGTTGCCAAGGCAAGCTCGATTGTGTTAACGGTATAGTATCTCTGGCGAACTTCGTGAGATGCGGCGCCGTTTCGCATGAAATAAGGCTAGGCCGTGACTTAAAGTCCAAAAAAAAAAAAATATTTCCGGAAAGTTCGGCCGGGATTCAAACAATTTGGCCGGGAAATGAACGAAGCCAACTCAAAGTAGATTGAAACAGAGGACAAAGAATTTTCTGCCAAAATTAAACACAGAAAAAATTTCTCCTATAGTAAATTATAAATTTTGAATTGAAGACATATCATGTTTTTATGTAATATCCAAGTAATTTGTTCCTTTTATTAAAAAAAAAATCAGTTAATATTTAACGGTAATTAAAAAAAAATTAGAATAGAATAAAATTAGAATTTGTTACAAATCGTGATATATTAACTGCTTTATTGACGATATTATTATGTTATATCCTACATTTACTAATATAATTGACTTTGAAATTGCTGAACAAAATTCCATGCTACGTTGTATTATAATTTATATCCATATAATTTGACAATAATTTGACAATTTTATTTTCATAATTTATTAAAATTACAACAGTAATAGTTGATTTATTATATTTGTATAATTTCAATTCTCTCGAAATACAAAATATGACATAAAATAATAATAAATTAATTTAAACATATACAGTAATTTCTATTTTCATTAACAAAAATTGATTCTTTGGACAAAATTACAAAATTTCATTTTTGTAATTTTATTTTCGTGAACTAATCGTCTGAAATAAACAATGTGGTACTCATGGAAAACGATAAAATCATAATTTTCATTTTGATAAAATCAAAATTTCATCAAAAATCATAATTAAATGAATCCGAGTTCTGCTACAATTGTTTTACATAAGATACTGATTATATCTCGATGAAAAAAATATCTTTAAAGATGAAGATCTCTAAACAAAATATATATTATTTTCATAATTAATAATTGTTAATCACTTTTGCAAATTAATGATTCAATACAACTAGTCTTGCGCTCAAATTAGAAACGACAGAGTTATAATTTTGGAACGGAATTATTTCGTTGCAATTTTCTGTGCAACAATATATATATATTGGCGATTATATCGACCCGTGTGATTTTTCGCTCTAGTGTTGACCAGCGTACATGATTCTCTCGACGCGGCATATCATGTTACAAAGCACGTGTACTCTACACGTTTTCGCACCTGTTTTTTAGTAACGGATTAGCTCACCTGTCAAATTACATACAAAAAGTGTACACACGGCGATCTTTTATGAATGGGTATGCACACCGGATTTTCTAAACGCTGTAACTCCATGAAAAATCGACGTAGCAACATGGAACGAAAACCGATCTTCTGTATATCGTGTAC